GTGGACATTTGTCATTAAGACAATCTTTCGTGTACAGCCTCGTGTTATACTTGCATAGCATTCGTATTTATTTTTCTTTTGGTTATCAGTAAGTTTTGATTAAAGTGGCCGATCATTTGGAATCATCGGTGGATGGTATACGTCCTCATTCATTAATTGAACGAAGATTATTTCTCATTATTATTATTATTATTTCTTTTGTTGTGCTGTTTGATGCGATCACTTATCAAATCTTTTACCTAAAACCTAAGATAATTTATAGTTTTTACCAAGTGTTTTATCTGAGATCGAAGATAACTGAAAGTTTTTACCAAGTGTTTTACGTGAGATCGAAGATAACTGAAGACATTTACCAAGTGTTTTATATGAGACCCAAGATAAATGAAAGTTTTTACCAAGTGTTTTATATGAGACCCAAGATAAATGAAAGTTTTTACCAAGTGTTTTATATGAGACCCAAGATAAATGAAAGTTTTTACCAAGTGTTTTATATGAGACCCAAGATAAATGAAAGTTTTTACCAAGTGTTTTACATGAGACCCAAGATAAATGAAAGTTTTTACCAAGTGTTTTACATGAGATCTAAAATGAGTGAAAGTTTTTACCAAGTGTTTTACGTGAGATCGACGATAACTGAAGGCTTTTACCAAGTGTTTTATATGAGATCCATGATAAATGAAAGTTTTTACCAAGTGTTTTATCTGAGATCTTAGATAAATGAAGGTTTTTCTTATGAAATTATCAAACGCCCATGAACATAATCTTTTGCAATCTATTCTATTTCACATAAAGACAGATTTCATGGAATTATCATTATTATTATATTGGTCGCATAGGTAGATGTTTAGAAAGTTAGCGTTCCGACTATGGGTTCGAATCTCACCATGGTCGAAATGTCAGGAAGGCGAATTTTTGATAATATCGGTCTAGTGAAACGATCCCAGTATGCAACACCAAAAATCACATTGAAAACTATATTAATCCAATCCTTTTGAGTTAAACTGGGTAGACAAAACTGTTCAGAAACCGCCAATGGCTGTGCTAGCACGAAGTCACAAGTCATCGTGACTGAGGGTTTGAGTGTACTCGTCTTTTTCAAGGTGCTGATCATGCCAGATTATGCACTCACTCCTAGAAAATGTAACTAAGGTCTGCTCAGCATATTTGCTGTATAAACTCCAGGTTGACTGTGGGTGTTGAACAAACACAGATGTGCCCAAGCAGGCGCTTTCAACAGCTGCCCTAGCAGGCAGACATTATTATTATTATTATATTCCATATTGTTTTAGTGTGAGTCAGCATTATCATCTCTGTACGTAGATGAGGACAATGCAACTAAAAGCGAAAATAAAAAAAAATGTACTGCTTCTAAGCTTTAAAATCTCGTACTTGTAAAAGTCGAAATAGCATTTCCTGTGTTTGTAGACAGTTGATAGAGACGCAAAATTGCAAAACTATGAACATGTGCGTTCTAAGACTTGAACAGTTATTTTCTCTCAATGCAAATTCTCAAATGTGAACCCCTACGGTGGATAACACACACACATACACGCACACAATCACAAAACAAAATCATCTACCCAGATATAGCAGAATTGCGCAGAGTGTGTGTGTGTGTGTGTGTGTGTGTGTGTGTGTGTGTGTGTAAACCAGGCTTATGTGTTAAACGTTTCAATTTCTCATCGCATGCTTAAAGAGATACGGTTGTTGGTCAGGATCGATGAGTCTTTCTCTTTAAAGAAAAAAAATCAATTGTTTACAGTACGTCCGTTTACTTGTAAAAGACTCGAGGCTCCGTGTTCGCACGAACAAATAGGTTAGTGTAACACATTGTATGATGGTGCTATGTCTTGTGAGTTTGCGTCTCAACACACACACACATATATATATATATATATATATATATATATATATATAATAACATTCCTTGTCTCTTTCTTTTGTCTCAGCTCCTTAAAGCGTGAATTTGAAAAACAACACGAATGTTTCTCATAACAATAGCCACTTATGTATCATGAAAAAGAATACAATAATTACAACGCTATATATATATATATATATATATATAATGTGGCCAAGTGTGACAGGGAAAGCTTGTGTATTGAATACAAGCTCAAACTTATGTTGAAGACCAGTAGGTTTAGATGAGAAGTAATAAGGTGTGTAGGGGGGGGGTCGCCTTGGTTGGGAAAGAATAGTGATGGGAGGAATATCGAAAGTAAAAGATAATAAAAAAAACAAAAAAAAACTTATGTTCGATTTTCATACGTGTTCCTGCAATTATAAGACAGAAAATTAAGATGCCTTCTATGCGTTACTTAACGTTAAATAGTTTAAAACAAATGAGACAGTCATATAAGTTACACTACATAATGCTTTTATTTCTCTCTCTTTCCACACACACACACACACATGTGTATATATAATGTCTATGTACTATAGTGACAGTTTCTAACGATATAAAAAATAAACAGATAAAAATAGAAAAGCGATCAAAATAACGAACATGGTATCGCGAAAGACCTCGGGGTAAATAAACAAGATAGATAATAAATGAAAAGGTATAGATAGGTAGATATGAACAGACAGACCTTGTGTGTATGTAGGTAAGTATGTATGTATGTGTATATATATATATATATATATATATAGAGAGAGAGAGAGAGATAGCTACAAACAGACTGAGCAATATAGATATGAAGAGAGTGAGTTTGTTGATATACATATACGAAACGGAAAGAGACCGATAATAAACCAAGAAAAGATTAATGTATACATACATAAGTATATACGCATGCATATATATATATATATATATATATATAGATATATATAGATATAGATATAGATATATATAAATATATATATATATATATAGTAAATACAAACGAAAGTCATGCTTATAAGTTGATATACGTACATATGAACGTATATACATAAATGTGAATATATATATATATATATATATATAGACATTCATGCATCACCTTCTAATCGAAAATGATGGATATAGAATATTCGTTTGGAAATAGCATAATATATATTTTCTTTTTCTCGTCGGCATATTTACTTCTCTACGTTCAAAATCGTTGACCGAAGAAGCGTGTCTTTTTAACTGGTTGTCAAAATTTTATGACGTCTAGATATCTCTATTTAAGGATCTGTTCGCATACATAGAGAACATGTGTGATTATTATTTTTTTTTAAATCGAAGTTTCACATATTTTTACACACACACACACACACACCACCTACACAGAGACACGCATTTTTTTTTTCTTCCGGCTACTCATTCTCTCACTGTCTTTCTCTCGCTTTTTGTATCGAAGTCTCACTCCACCTCTCTTCCGCTTACTCTCTGCAGAGCTCTCTCTTTCGCGCGCGCCATCACTTTTATTTATTTATTTATTTCTCAATTCCCCCCGCCTACATTAGTTTCACTCTATTATCAACCACAAGTTCCACTACTCCCACTTATACCTCACCGACTTGTTCCCTACTTTCACTTTCACTATCAAGCGAACCACCTGTAAACACCTGCATTGTTTGACTTTCCATCTGTCTACCGACCAATCTTTCTTTCGTATTAGTACACCCGTATTCCCGCCTACTCATACCCATATCGCTATTTATATACCGTAAAATACATTATGTATGACTTAGTTGTATTCTTCTATTGCATCAAAAATAAATATACATGTTTAACCTTATCGCGTGTACTCCCACTCACTCGCCTCATTTATATACATACATGTCGTCTGACACCGAGTCCTGATCATATGTTTATGTAAATATAACTATATATTTATATCTATATAGGTGCATCTGCGTCTGCATCCACCCATATTAAAACGTCTCTCACACATACATACATACATACATACATACATACATACATATAGTAAAATGTACACCAGTATATAAGGCTTTTCATTTGCTACATGAAAAACAGCAACATTACATTATAAAAAACAGTTTCTGTTATCGGGTTGGTGGAAGCAGTATAAAAACAATGCCTTTTCAGAGGCATGAACCCTAAAAGCCTAACTTTTACATGCATTGACTCATTTACATTAGTTTTTTATTGATTAGTTTTCTAAGGCTTTTCAGGTTATTTAAAGCCAGAAAATAGTTTTTATTGTAAGATTTCTCTGCTTCAGCACTGTTTGCTTTCACAAAAAAATATCAAGTCTTTATAATTTGATGGATGCTGGTTGGTTTATGTTTAAAGGCATATCAATATCTATGGTTATTTAACGACAAAACCTAAATATGTTGTACGCAATTTTATTTATGTATTTATTCTTATGATAATAATGATTTAGTGATACAAGTCTTACTAATTAACCCATAACTGGGGGCTAGAGAAAAGGTGGATTCATACTTTTCCCAAGGGTATTTGCGCGTAAGTAAATATAACGAACTTGACTGGAATTGGAACTCGACTCTTCGATTAACAATTACTAGCAATTATCCATTGCACCACCCGCACATCCAAGCTTACAACATCTAGTATCCCAAAGCGGTCACCGATCTCGGTAGTGACCAGGCTTGACGTTGCTTAACTTAGGTGATCGTACGGAGTCGGTGTTTCAACGTGATGCAGCCGTAGACTTTAAGAGTAGAATTATTAACGAACAAGGTTCTGAAAATAATTATTTTATTTATTTATTTGCCATAAAAAAATAATAATCTAGAATCGACTGAAAATAAGAACAAACTTACACGGATGTTTATCAGGCGTAAATAAATATTTACTTAAAAATATGTATTTACTTACATAAGTACTTATTAAATTTTTAAATTAAAAACCGTTCATTCCTTATTCACGATTCTACGCCTAGACGCCTTTGCAAGCGAATTTTCCTTCAGCGTCTTCTGTATTATTTTATTAAAACAATTGTTTATCGCTTTTCTATCGTAGACCAACATGACATTTTTTTCTTTCTGTCTGAATTTCTGGGTAGATCTATCATTAATTTATTTAGATTTAAATAAAA